CTCTCTCCCCTACCCCCCCCCCTGCCCCCCCCCCCCGGCATGCGATACAGAAAACTTGATGTGAAAAGAAAAGGGGCCCACGTGGTCTATCTCTAGAAACTTGACTGGTATGAAGAAATTATCCTCTGTTAATCTATTTCTCCGCTTTGTTGAACTTTAATCCACAGAAAGTGATTTACTGAAAGAAAATTCTCTCTGTCACTCGTTATCATGTTACCGGCCTGTTCGTTTTTATTCGGTCTTTACAGAAGATGCCCAAAAAGTTAAGACAACATCTTAGTTCCATTGCTAGTATAATTTTTGGGACGTTTTGTTGTCAATAGCGATTACACATATTGCCACTATAAAAGTGAAAAAGAAATAATTCCTAGGAGAATTTCTTTGGAGAAATGTGACTCTCGGTTTGTCTGGATTGCCCTCGATTGACACCGCCCCCCCCCCAAAAAAAAAATTGATAAATAAAATAAAAAAGGATAAAAATAAAAAAATAATGAAATGAAATAAAGAAAAATTCTAAAAAGCCCTTCGAATAAAAAGTACAACATTATCAATAAGGTTTTTAGTGAATTTCCCAAAATTCGACTCGTCGTTCGATTTCAACCGCTGGTACAAAATCCGTAGCAATCTATTTTGCACAGAAAAATTCTGCGAATGACATCAAAACGACGATCATAAGCCACTGCTAGCTTTGTGAGGCCCACCGTTAAAAGCTTGGTTACGCATCGTCCCTGTCCCGTCACTTCCCTCCTCTCTCTCTAAACCAAATTCTAGTCATTATCACAGAAATAACAATAATGTAACCTTGGTTTGCTACTAATTTTTGAGAGGATGGCATGTAGATTTTTATTCTTCACACACGGGCTACAGGCTGGCTGGCAGGGACAGTCGTGACGATCTCCCGGAGTCTCACTCTTTCTGCTTTTAGAGGCCCAGTTTTTATAGGGGATCGCATTGATTCCTGCGTGCCGTAAACTATTAGTAAACGTAAATAACTATATCCGATGTAAACAGTCGATCGGTAAAACTAGATACAGGGACTCCTATATTTGTTATGTTGCCCTGAATATGAATATATTCTCCGGGTTGGAAGGTTACTTTCTCTTCCGTGATAGTGAATGTAATTTAAAGGCAGAGACAAATAGTATAACACTGCCGTGTTATAATAATATTAATAAACAACACGTTGAATATATCAGAAATGTGTTGGTGACCTCGTTTCTTTCTTTATCCAGTGCCTCTTTCGTCAGTGAATGTTTTGTTTGTATAACACAGGCACTACGCAATGCAGTGAACAAAAAGAGTATAACAAAGCCGCAGATGCTGAATCGATAGCACTTATTCATGTATGCAAAGCTTACGTTAAACACGGTATTACATACACCAGGATATAGATGGCAAGCAAAGGTCTGGGCTCACATGAGTCTTTTTGCGGCATGTACGTGTATTTATCCTCTGCACAGGGTGTCTGGTGGACCAAAAATTGTGTCGTTTCTTCAATCATAGTCCAGTCATCTGGTTAGGCCACTGCGTAATTAGAATAGGTGTAACATCAGTGGGTGTGGCGCAAGAACAACCAATGTTTTAAGTGAGAACATCTACATGTATTCTTTGGAAGGACATGTGATGGCATTACAACCTGCATCTTTAACTAAACTTGGAATCCGGAACTCCTGTAAAGGATTGGTAAGATTATCTTCTACGAGTTGTTTGATTGTGACTTATCAATCTTATATTATCTAATACAGAGTTTACAACAGCAAAGAAATAAAGCCGGTGACCTATAGCTAAATGTGCGTGTCTCTACACGTAGTAGTTTGCTGTCACGATAACTGTATTTTGTCCCTTGATTCACATTAGGTGTCGCAAGACACATTAAAATCAACTCAGGAAGCCGGGCGGAAATCTGGACTGCAACTTGATGAGGATATGATTCACAGCTTGTATTCTGAAGCTTTGAGGTTGACGAGATGATTTTTTTTTAGTTTTTGTAAAAGCTGCTAGCATGGTCCTTTAATTCTCTCTTTTCCATTACGTAGCAGGAGAAATAGTGCCTATTTTGATATATAGATCGACCTAATCTCTGGGAATGGGGTCTTACTCATATCCCTTTTCCAAATATAATATTATATGGAACATTTTTATATTTACATTTCCAGGGCTTCTGCGTCCGTTTTAGATTTATGTTTTTAGCTGCCTTATTGGGCGTGGTCTGCGTTGCCTTACTTTATAATAGTAACTTCACAAAAGACAAACCTGTGTTCATGAGACGTGAACAGGTTAAGAAGAAAAGCATACAGCCAGTCGTAACAAAACAATGGTTCATGCCAAATATAACAACAGAAATGTATATTCTGTCTGCATACTATGACGATAGGCCTACCATAGACCCGAAGACCAGACCCGCTATTCGCATTATAGGTATGGCAGACAAGAATAAAGTTGAAAAAGAAAAGTTCTCATGTATTGTGACTTTTGAGGGGTTGAAAAATTCCATTTTGCAACCAATGGCAGTTACCGAGATTGGCACTGGGGGTGGATGTCACGGAAAACACTTTCGGGAGTACATATTTGTGTGTGCGCCTATAAAATTCACCGCCAAAAAAGCTATTTTCGTCTCCGTCGTTGATCAAACTTACTTAAATCAAAACAATTGGGAATCACACGAGCACGTACGCATACCCGTTCGATATCCTAGTAGAGAGAATAAAGTGGACTTTGGGAGTTGCGTCAGCATTACGTTCTGGACGCTCGATCCTTATAGAATAGTAGAGTGGGTGGAGCTTCACAAACTCTGGGGAGTGAAGGAAATCAATATTTACGGCAGCATGATGAATGAAACCACGGAGAGGGTGTTCTTATACTATCACCAGCAGGGGATCTTAACTTATACAAGGATGCTCAGGTCGATGAATGAGAGCGGAGAACTTGTGTTGAATCTCATGGGTACGCCCGTGCTCAATGACTGTATGTATAGAAACATGTACAGGTATGAAAAAATAGTCGTCACAGACTTAGACGAAATGATAGTTCCTCGTGGAAATATGATGACTTATTCTGAACTTATAGACGCCATCGAAAAGGAGACCAAACCAAGGCATCCACATCGCATGTATAACTTCAGAAATGTGTATTACTTTTCTGAACTACCACAGAATACGTCAGAGCCACAAGTCACGTTAACGTTACGTCAGATCTACCATTTGAGAGAATTAACGCCAGTTGGGACGTCAACTAAAAGTATCATTGATCCCATGGCTTGCAGAAATGTACATAATCATTACTGCTGGAAAATTGCAGAAACGTTTGAAAAAACCCGCCATTCGATTCACGTGCATGAAAAGTTTGGAATGAATCAACACTACAAAAAATGTCATTTTGATAAATATGCCACTGCCTATCATCTGCCTCCTTGTAAAGAAGCTCTGAAGAATTATACCTATGATCCCACCATGTTAAAATTTAAAACCAATCTATTACGCAATATAGAAAAACCACTTAAAGATCTGCAGTTGATTAAAGGGGGTCAAATATATCATTTTTAGATACATCATCAATTCTGATTTAGACCTCCTTCCACTTGGAGATTTAGGAATTGATAGAAAGCTCATTTCATACGAACTATTTACACATTTTACATACGCCGTGTAAATCAATAAAATTGCAGACATGCGTTTTTGTTTTGAATATACTTTCGAATATTTGTCATTACCGCCACACACTTCTATTGTGTATCAGCTGCAATGTATTCCACGGTATCTTTCTTCTCTCACAAATAGGAGAAAGCATGCGCTAAACTACCGCAAATGAAAAAATAAAGCCACCAACCAAAATTTGGAGGGGTTCAGGTAGGAAACGTTGTTTATACTGTGTTTATACGCAAAATCACTTTTTATGAAAAAGCGCCATAAGAGATAATCTATCTTTCGGTCTTAACGCGTATTCATTTGGTGTAATAAAGCTTAAACTCTAGTCACACAAGAGGTGAAAACTTATTCCTAAATTCCTGGATATTGGAATTGCATTTCAAAAATTCTGAGTGCATTCAAAAACTTTGAACCCGTTATAATCCTTGATTAAAATATTTTGGTCATGCACAAAACTTTCGAGATGCATTCCTACCGCAGAAATATCGAAAGGAATTCGAAGTGTGTTTTAACTGCTCTATGGCGGCATTCTAAATAGCCTTACGACATTTCAGCAGCATTCGAAACATCCCGATTGTAATCAGGGGAAAACCGAAATATTCAGGTCTTCCACCAGCATGATCCGAATATTTAGAATGCACTCAGAATTTATAGAATGCACTTTGAACATCTAGGAATGAACAATAAAAAAATTTTGACAGCATACTTACTAATTCCACATTTACTCCGACGAAGGTATATAATAAAAATTTGGCACAAATTTTGAACATTCTTCTTTCCACAGCTTGTTCTGTTTTATTTTTGCTGTTTACATATAGGTGTAACGGAATATTAGTCCGTAAGTCAATCTGTTACTATATTTTTAATTTCAAATTAAATTTTAATAAAATAAATAAATACTGTGACAGATCCCACAAGTATGACACGGAAAGTATTAAAAATGTAATGCTGTTTATTTACGGATATCTGATCTGATCTGGTGAAATAGATTCATAAAAAAGATAGCTAAACTAGAAATAATTTTAATTAAAATCACGAGATATAATGATTATTACTAAAAGCATGCTGATTAAGTTTTCTTTTGACAACTGACGACTTAATAAGCAACAGTCTGTCAACTACGCACTAAAGGTACAAAACTTGCACCAAAACATAATCCACACTTGCAAACCTTCTCTACAGGCTATCTTTTGACGGCCAGCTCGTCAAAATTCGAGAAAATAATTTAAGGGGCCATTTCCATAATCCCATCGTACTAGCTGAACTGTTCTATCTTCTCGGGGATTCTCGCTAAATTGCATTCAGTGTAAGCGGCTCAAATGTCTCACGCCCCCCCCCCCCTCGTGACTTCAAGTACTTGGGTAAAGTCGGGTAAACTTTGTGATCCATGATGTTGCTCAAGTTCGCTCTGAAAGGAGTGTGCAAGACAATTAAGCTGATTAGATTGACTGTACTGAGATAGATCGATCCTGCTAGTACGATAAGATTTTGGAAACGCCGTCTAAGACAATTTCATTCATATTACATGTGTATACGTCCGTCATTTCAACGTTAAAGCCAAACAAAATAAGGTAAAAACAAAGGTCTTACATGTCCTTAAATTTATGATCAGCCAGGATAGTGACAAAAAGTTTTTCAACGACCTAGTAGGAGGATTTTCAGTTTTTTTTACAAATTAAATATCCATTAAAGAAGCACGATATTTCTGTTTTAAGGAATGCTGATTTCTACATCCATAAATTGTTAAGGTCCCATTCAAGCAACAGGCCACGATCCCTTAGTATGTAATCCCACGTATGGTTTATCACATCACGTGCAGATTGCAACACTACTCATACCTAAGCCCTTGTTGTCCTCATTTAAGTCTAAGGCATCCACCTGGCTTTTCTGCAATTGCGTTTTCCTGTGTTTGGCTAAACTGGGATTGTTCAGTACAGTAAAAAGCACTGCCCACTTTCTGCGGGCACGTTGACGACGTTCACCACCGACGAATGAGCAGGAACGCGGTAGCACGGTACCTGCAATTAAAGACAATTTTGTGCTCAGTGTAAGTATTTACATTAAAACAAATACGATTCGGGAGATACTGAAAAAATATAGCCTACATCGTGCCAAACAAAACCATAGAAAGGGAAAACAAAGATATTAAACGGGTGGATAGTGGGTTTTTGTTGTATTGGGATTCACTTTAGGCGTCAATGCAATGCAAACTGCAATCATAACGAACAGAATGCAATGAGATGATTTTTGTCATATTACGCACAAACAAAAATAACATAAAACAAAATTACCTGTTTTGAAATTGTAGTTACAAAATTTAACCCTCATTTTACCTTCTTCAGCATCAACTAAAGTTGAACTTGTACTTGACGCCATGTTTTCTTCACATGTTTCGACAGCAAGCATTCTTTTTCTGATTTCTGCTTCTATCACCAACAGGTTTATAAATGTCAACATAACTGGATGTCTGTGAGCATTTTCCACGTGCAACATGCCAACGTATGCTCTATACCCTTTAAGAAGATTGGAAAGTTCAGTTGATAAATTGGCTATATGTTTATTGAAATATACATTTTTTTCTACAAAAACAAGGAAGCTCTTTTAAACAGAGCTGCAACCATGCATGACTCAAAAGGAAATACATCAATACCAGGCAAAACTTTACATAGGGATTGCTACCAGGATATTTAATATGGAGTAAATATCAACAGGTCACAATCCGCAATTTAAATAAATAAATAAAGATTAGCCAAACATACTTAAGCACCTAGGCAGGTGTGAACTAGACCGTGGATACAGTAGAAACCTTTTGTCCTTTTTTATATTTTGCCATTTTTCCTGCCATTTAATCTGATCTATCAAAATTGAATTCGTATTTTGTGGCAATTGTTTATTAGTTTCTGTAGCATAATTTTCATAAGTAAATGAGTCTTTTGCTATGAATTTAGTGAAATGTAAAATGAATTTTCGATTAAAATACCTGGGTCAAAAAGCAGGTTGACGCTTCTGGGTAGGTTGCTACTGTCAAGTCTTCCGATATACAGAACGCCAAATACTATCCCCTTTCCAACTCGCAGTAAAGCGGAAAACGCACCAATAAGTATGTTGTATATAAACATGAAATAAACAAAGTTGAACAGCAATCTCCTAAAAAGTAGAAAAAAGTAACTTCTTAAAGATCATGGAATATTAAAATGAAATTAACGTGGTTGAAAATCAGCAACAAATAACATGAAAAGTCAATATACAAATTAGTACGATGCGTACGCAGTAGGTGTGTATACGATTTCAATTTGATCATCCCAGCTGTTTTCTGTTAATGCCCCTAGACAACATGATTTTGCCAGAAAAGATTGTCCCCAACAAAAATTTGAAGCGAAATTCGGGTCCAAGTATATCGTTATACCGGTAATGTGTTCACAGACCAGACAATAATGCCTACCTGTTGTTAGCTGCAAGATTGGCCCCCTTGTCCTGCAGAAACACCAACCAGGAAAGCAGGAAATGGATCAAATACAGCACAAGCAGTATCAAAATAGATGGCCTTGAAATATAAAGAATGACTGTGCTTATGTATTCACACCTTCACGCCTTACGTAGGGTGATATATATATATATATATATATA